CTTCTAACACATAGACCTTTCCTTTTTCTATTGGACCTAGATCCAGAGGGTTACAGCTTTAGTAAGGAATTAGGGTGTAATTATTTTGATGAGAATGTAGTATTATATATTTCCAAGCATGATTGCTTCTTAACACAATGCAGCCACATAAATTTAGTATTTGTAATCAATAAATCTTTTTTAAAAACCTACCGATTAAATAGTTGACTTGTGATTCAATGAGTTATTAGATTTAGATCTCTACTCGGGGATGACATAATCCCCACAAAATTATACAAATATATATTATATATATATATGTTGAAGCTTAATCTATATGTATGTGGGGATTTGTTGAAATTTTTGTAGAGAAATAGTTGAAAGTAAAATAAAAAATAGTTGAAAGTAAAATAAATACAGTCGTCATTGTTTTTGGAAAAAAGTCAGGGAGTTAACTAATGATGTGAGATTACTATAAATTATTAAATTAGCCTGTGGCTGTGTTGCATGTGCAACTGAGATGGAGAGAGAGTGGGCAATAGCAACAATTTTACTTTTCTTTCAAGATAAATGAACAGATTCCAAAATTAGTAAATACTAATATATGCCATCTTCTACTATTATGGAGATCTTTAGTTGAGGAACATGGCATGACACGTCCGTAATTTAATCACAGACTCGTATGTTTAAGGTATATAGATCCAAAGAATATGCATGTTTAAATCCATTGGATATTTTCCAACTCTCTAGATACAAAAACTTTCTAAACATCTCAATCATTTAGCTGTCAATGACATATTAATTATCTCAAATTGTTATTCGAAAAATACTTTTGTTGTCTTTCTTTTTGTGGTTATCCTATCATTAACCGCTAAAAAGAGAGAAATGAAAAAAGAGTTGCAAGTTGCAATACAAGCTCTGTCAGTTTTTTGTAACTTTCATCGTAGTTACAAAGCTATTCGACGATGTTCGAAATCATACAATTTTGTTTCTTTTTTTATATTCAATTCAATTTTAGAGTTTTGGAATCGGCCGTGTGTGGAGTTTTTAGCTAATAAATGCACCAAATACAAAAACAAAAAGCACAAATCCTCCTTTTCCTCCACATTTTTACTTGTGACCACAAGACCGATTAGACAATTGATTAAGACAAGTTATTAAAGCCAAATTACAATGATGTGAAATAACAAAAGTTTGAATCTTCAAACATATTTTGTCAAAATTAAGTCACTCAAAAATTATTCTTCACAAGAACACAAACGCCAACAAGAAATCCACTTAGCTTCTTCATTATTCGTGCAACGTACCGAGAATGTCTTCGTCCCGGAACAGATGATACATGCGTCCATCATTACCAACTCAAGTTTCTTACTTGGATCCATCACCAACATAAATTTGCAAAACTCTACATATATCTTGGGGCTGTTTCTGATTGATCAAGAGTTTTGGGGATTGTTGAAGACAGTGGTCTAATATTAAGGATGTATGCGAGTATTGAGATCGAACGCATAATCAAAATCTTATTTAGACAATAAGGTTATTTTATATCAAATCAATAGTATTGGGGTAATTAACTCAATATTCTAAAGGAAGGAATTGGGTAAACGTACTCTTTCTCGTCGAATTTGACCTCTGTGTTAACTTAATAACTATGATATATAAAACATTGTGTCTTTCATTATTTCACTCAGCCGCCACAAATCATGAGATTGCTTGCCCTCTTGTAACCTTCATTGAGGTTGGCATCAGCAAAGACCAAAAACGTTCCATCTCAATGAATTTAGGTCAGCCATGTATGTATAGAGCTGTGTGACACTTTTTGTTCATTTTGTTGAGATAGATCTTTTTTAATATAATTTTTTTGGAAACTTTTATTAGGGGTAATTGCTTTTAATCTGTATCACCTATATTTGCCCCTAAATCGCACATTGGTCATTAAAGTGTAGCTGATATCTTGGTTGAATACTTTTACTTGTAAATTGACCGATATACTCCATCATCTATATAACTAATAGAAGAAAAAAGATAACTAAAACAAAATTTACTCATTATTTATTATAAAAATAGTTACCTTTCGTCTAAAATATTTGAATCTAGAAAGAGTTTTTTTAAATTTGTTTGCATTTTAAGATATCGTCTCTCATAAACTCATCAAGAGAAATCGTCGAACATATTTTTAATAAATTTGATAACTAATTTAAAGTAATGTGGATTTTTGGTGTAAGTTGATTCACATATATTGTCTCTCTTTCTTCTAGTTTTGGTTTGAAGAACTGGACGAAGTTAAATACCCTTCACCCGAGATATTTGAATCTCTCTCAGCGCCTCCGCCATTCGATTGCCCTTGAAAATTTCCCTACTAATCCTTCCCAATCGTCACTCATGGTTTCCCAAGGAGTTAGCAAGAGACGATCTTGGAACACTTCTTCTTTTTAATCTGATAATATTGAACTAATGCGATAGTGTAAGTCTGTATACTTTTTCAGTTGGGTGTATTTATAAACCGTTAGGAGGCTAACTGTATGTATAGTTTTTCAAGTCGGTGTATTTTGTAGACGTTAAGAGTGTAACGTTCGATTAGTTTGGTTTTAATCTGATAGCATTTCCTCCATTTGAATTTCCGGAGCCAAAATCAAGATCAAGATTAAATATGGATTTCTTGTCTAGCCTTAGACTATGTTATTGGTCTGGTTGCTTTTTATTATATGGTTTCAATTATTTTGCATATTTGCTGCGCATGGCGTATTGGCTATGCACATTTAGCTCTATCTATAACATTTACTTTATTATAAGAAAACATTTGTTTTCAACCACTTGTTTTATAGCAATTTAGTTGGTGAAAAAATTTTAAAAAAAAATTAACAAAGGTATAATTTTTAATTCTTGATTCTTGAATGCAAATGACCAGTTCACCTATACAGTGTTCAGCACCAAACGTGGGATAAAAAATCTATATTCTAACGCTAATCTATAAATTGATAAATTAACAAATTTAGTAGGACTGATATAATAAGGAAATAATTTTATAATAAAATATCTAACTGTTTTGCTTATATAGATTAATTTTTATGATTTTCACATCCATGATCCATCCAAGACGATTAACAGAAAGACCAGGTTAGCTTTTGATACAAAAAACTGGAATCTCGGCAAGAGTTTGTAAAAAGAGATCTTGGAGATGCAAAAGCCAATGAGTTCAGCGAATGCTGCGTCTATGGGGGAGAACAATACAAAAAAATTAAAAGGAAAAACTACAGAAACGTGTTTGAAAATAAAATAAAATGATAAACTACGGAAACCCGATAATAAATCTCATAACAGCATTAGATTATATGCAACACAAGAATGCTTAAGATACTTTTCTTAAATATAAAATATTAATATAATATAAAAATATAAATAAATTTTAAATATAAAAGAAAATAAACTAGTTACATAATGACATATGTCTAAAAAAACTTTAGATTCAGCTTTCAAATGAGAGCTACAAAAACTTTTTCTTTTCAAATTTTTTAAAGTTAGATACTAATTAAGAAACCAGCCTTAGCCTTAGAGCATGTCCATCGGAATCTTTAAACATAGTATCTCAGCAATAAAATAATGAAACAAATAGAAAAGTTAGAAAAATGGGTAGAAACGTTTCTGAAACAAGCACTACAAGAAATGGGTTTTAAGTATTTCTTTCCAATTGTTGAATTGTAACTGGCTTAAGTTTACTTTTGACACTAAAAATTAATTAATTATTTTATTTATATTTAAATAATCATATAATATATAAAAGTTGATGACATCGTGCATTGAGGGCGTTCACATGGAATTAAAAAACTCGATCTGATTGGTCCACATCAGCATATTCATTAAATAAAAAAATGTTAAGTATGATTAGGACAGAAAAACTTGATTTCATTGGTCCACATCAGCATATTTATTAAATAAAAAAATATTAAGTATGATTAGGACGGAAAAACTTGATTTCATTGGTTCACATCAGCTTTTAAATTAAAACAAAAATTATTAAGTATAATTAAAACATTGAAAATTAATTTAACAAATTATGTCCAACAAAATAAAGTAAATTCAATCTGATTGATCCAAATCAACATATTTATTAAATCACAAAATGTTAATATGGTTTAAAAATTCAAAAGTTAAATAAAACATTAACAATTAACAATACATGTATAAAAAAATAACCATTATCAATTATCAATTTAAAAAAATCTACAACAACACGATTTAACAATTAAAACAATGAAAACTGAATAAAAATATAACATAAAACTTTTGGAAGACATGATGGAGAAGGAAAAAATGGTTTTGTATGATCATTACAGCTTCTTAACAAATTTGAATGCAAATCAACATGAATCATGAATTATATATACAGTGGTACACAACATCAATAAGACTTTTAAAAAAAACTAAATATTTGAACACATAAACTTTCAAAAAAGAACTATAGAAATTCTATAGAAAACAGACAATAATACCAAAATCTAAGCAAAATTATATTTTTCTAAATCAAATTATATATACGTCAAAGTTGGATAATTCGATATGTGTCATTGTTATTATTTTACCTAATATTTTTTAAAAATTTATAAATAAAAATAGGATAAATTACACATTATATATTAAATTCTTTTATATACATGAAAATTTCTATAAATTTTAATAACTTTAAAGATAGTAGTTAAAAAAATAAACCAAAATATTAATACAGATTCGCGCATAGCGTGAATTATATATCTAGTGATATTTAATGTTTTAGATACCTTTTTAAGATTTTAACCGATGAGGATGATCTTAGAAGGAAATACTACAGAAACGTGTTTTAAAAGAAAACAAAAGGATAAACTACGGAAACCGATAAATAACCTGGTAGCGGCAGTAACGTGTTCCACAAGAATTTAAAAGAAAAAACAATGGAAATCCAAATTCTAGTGTTTATAAATTGGAGCTAGAAGAATAATCGAGGACACATAATCGGGCTCAGAGATACAATTATCAATCCACCGTCAATGGAGGAGGAAAAAGGCAAAATAGTTGTTTCGTGGTCAGAGAGAGAGACGGGGTTTCAGAGTTGGGGGAAGAAGAGAAGAGAAGATGATGATGAGACATTGTTTCAAAGGTGTATTAGTAAGAAGAGAAGACATGATCCTGATGCATCACGTAAGTACAACGGAAAAGATATTAGAAATCGGAGAGATGATGATAATGAATCATCGATATTCATCAGCAACGATGTGTTGGAAGAAATCGCGTTGAAGCTTCCAGTGAAAGCCCTACTTCGATTCCAGACCGTGTCAAAACACTGGAGGCGTAGGATAGAGTCGAGGTCTTTCATGGAGAGACACATGTTGCATCAGAAAACCACACATGAACCACCCAGACTGGTCTGTCTCACCCACGGTGAGAGAAACCTTACTCTAACGACTATGAGGTGGTCGGAGAGTTGTTCGGGTACTTGTCTAGTGGAAGAAGTCCCGGCTCATCACATTGAACGACGACAACCCGAGTTATACTCCGGTATTACCCAAAGTTGCGACGGGATTGTCTGCATCTTCGACGAGGACACCCTAACAACTCCAGTTACTGTGATGAACCCAGCCATGAAACGGTCTAAAATCCTCCCTCTTTCCATGTTTCAGCGACAGTGTCTAAACAAGACGAAGCCACCTCCGGATCGGTTAATTTTACTAGAGCCAGGATTTGGGAAAGACCATGTTACAGGAACATACAAACTCGTCTGGCTGCATAACCGCATAAGCGACTACACCTTATCATGCGAGGTTTTCGATTTTGAGGCCAACAAGTGGAGTTGCGTTATGAACACGCCTTGTGACCTATACGCATTCGGCCAACCAATATTTACAGAGGGATGGCTTTATTGGCTCGCTGGAGGTAAACAGTTTGGTGATGGTAAGGTTCTTGCTTATAATCTTCACACGGAGATGTTTCGGGTCATTACAAATAGGCTTGTTTCCGAGGCACCATTTCTTGGTGCTATTGGGATTTTCAGTCTAAACGACCGTATCTGGCTCACGGATTTGATGGGAGATGGTGGTAATGGTATACAACACTTTTGGAGGATCAGAAACGCTTTGGGATCCCACTGGGAATCGGAGAAGATGTTCTCCATTGACTCGCGTTTGTTATCTCCTTGGTTTGTTTCTCATGATGATAATGAAAGTTCACATCCTTGGCCCTGCACACTTGTGGCCACTTCCGAGGATAATAACAAGGTTATTGTCTCGAATTCATTCCACACCCACCTCGTTCAACTGCTTCCTCGTTCTACTTCCCTCTGTGTTTGTTCTGCTTTTTCTGCTCCTCCACATACTAAGTTCGTTCCTTATTTTCCGAGTTTAATCTTTCCATTGTGAATGTACTTGGCTTTTTTCATTTTATATATCTATTATTTTTACTCCCTCCCTCTTGTATGGGGGTATATCTCGTATTCCCACTTCCCAGCATTGTTATAAAAACGTTTTAGTGAATTTTCACATTTACATTCTTGAGGATTGTCAAAAATCTTCTTCCTTTGGTGAGATTACTTTCAGATGAGTTGGCTTATCATCAGGATTGTTTTCTTAATTTTACTATTGCAAGTTTCAGATTTAACTGGATTTTGATCATCTACTAGTTTTTTTTGTTTTTGTTGGTACAAAGATCATCTACTACTTTGTTATGCAAAACTGCAAATTCCAAACAAACTTAATTAGGATGCTTGATGACTTTTGCTTTGTTACATATATGCTTGATGACTTTTGCTTTGTTACATATATGCTTGATGACTTTTGCTTTCTTACATTGTGTTATTTTTATCACACTATTTCTTGAATTTTTATTGTAAAAGAATGATTACACTGTACATGAATGACATGTATGTATATTATAGAGGTGCGTTCTTATGTATTTGGGGATTTTTAGGGGGGAAGTTTGCAAATGTAGATGGGCTTATAACAGTTATAACTTATAAGGGGCCTAAGCCATTTAAATTAGGCCCATTTAAAGAGTCTCTCCCTGTACTCACGTGTTTCTACGAATCAGAGTCAGAGAAGACTTCGCATTGAGCTCGAGAGGTGACACGGAGAATGGCGAATCAACTGTCGAATACGCAGACTTACGGCGTTCCGATTTACGCCGCCGAGTGGATTCCGGAAGAAACTGTTAGATCCAAAATCGATAAGGATGAGGAGAAGCCCGAAGATGGCGGCGAGTCGTCGTCCTCCCGGAGCTGCATCGTTTTGTCCGGCGGAGGCGGAGAAGGAAATAGCGGAATCCCTAACGTCATCTTAATCTGTCGTGTTGATCTGGAGACCAATTCTCTCTCGGAACAACCTGTAAGTGCAAACGTTTTTTTTTTCTTGCTGCGAATTCCGAAAATATTCATAGCTTGATCTAGTGAGTGAATATCAGATCTATATATTTGCAAGGATTTTATATTTCCTATTTAGATCCGAGACTTACGATCGCTTTTACAGCTGGGTAAGCTTTTGCTTGGCACTGATCTGCCTTACAGGATGACTGTTCATCCTCGGGGAGGTGGTCCTATATGCGCATTGCCAAACAGTTGCAAGTGAGTTTTATCATCCGCTTTTAAAGCTCATTAGCTTCGAAAATTCTTCTTGGGTTTTGCTATTAACATCGGGTTGTCAAGTTTTGAAAGCATATATACAAAGTCGTAGTTGATTTTATGGTTTGGAGTAGACTGAAATTTTAAGGGATGTGATAGTTCTTGCGCTTCTCTTGGTACACAGACTGTTTGATTGGGAAAACATTATGAACCCAAGCGAAGATAATCAGGCTGGTGAAGAGTCAGATGAAGTGATTACAGAGTTGAGAGATGTTGGACAACAGTTGGCTTTGGCATTCAATCAGGAGGGGTCTGTGCTTGCTTCTGGTGGGGAGGTAGGAAAGCTCGTAGATTCAGTCTCTTTTAAACAACATTGAACGATACTTTAGTGGTTCTTATGCATTTCGTTTTGATGCAGTACAGGATGGAACTTTGAGAATTTTCGAATGGCCTAGCATGAAAACGTTACTCAACGAGTCTAATGCACATGCATCAGTTAAAAGCCTAACTTTCAGGTGAGTTTTCTCCTTTCATATAAAGAAAACTTTGCAATCTCCGGAAAGAGGTTCATTCTGTTGATGAGAAAGGAACCATCTTCGTGTTCGATTGTAAACAAGTTCCCTAATTGTGTTATTAATGTTTTGCAGCGAAAGTGGTAAGTTTCTTGTATCTCTTGGAGGTCCGCTTTGTCGGGTTTGGGACGTAGATGCTTCTGCTGCCATTGCCAGTCTACCAAAAGAGAAGGTCAGTAGGGTTTTGCTCTTCGTATCTTTTAAAACTCTGTATACAAACTTTCAACATTCTCGTATTGTATCTGATAAGTTCGAATATTATAATATCAGGACGAGATGTTTGCCTACTGCAGATTCTCCGTCGACAATGCAGGCAATGAAGTTCTTTACATCGCTGCAAACACTGGTAAAACTTACATTCTGACAGTGGAAGAACATATTAGATCCCCTTTTTTTTTTCCCACAGCTAACGATTATAATTGATTTGTTTTGCGTAGAACGTGGTGGGAGTATAATAACATGTGATCCAACATCATGGAAAAGAAAACGTTCAACGCTTATAAAAAACAACCCTATATCGGCCTTTAATGTCTCAGCTGATGGGAAGCTTCTTGCACTGTAAGTTTGTTTATTCCGAACTTTGGGTACCAAACAGATAAAAAGTAATACTAATTCTAATTTTGGTTGTCATACATATTTTTTTTCTTAATGCAGCGGAACCCTCGAAGGCGATGTTTTGATAATCGATTCAACAAAAATGAAGACTTTCCAAGTCGCAAAGAAAGCTCATCTCGGTTTCGTCACCGCACTGACTTTCTCCCCTGATTCAAGGTTAATTCTTCTCTACTCGTTGAGGAAATACCTTTCACTGTCTATAACTACCGATTCAGTGATCATGCTTCATATTTTAAGCAAATAAGTGGATAAAAAAATGCTGAAGAAAATGTGAAACTCACTCAAAAGTTTTGACTTGGGTTTGGTTTTTGCAGGTGCTTAGTGTCAGTATCTCTTGACTCGAGGGCAAAGCTAACAGTCATTGAGCAAACGCATGGAAAAGGTACGTATATTACCCTTACGTCTCCATCTTATTACCTTACCCGAACTTAATCAAAACCATACAATGAAACGAATTCAGAGACTTGAGTTGTAACGTTTCAATTTTTCCAGAAATTGTTTGATTTTGTCATGGATAGCAATCAAAACCTAAAACTGCGTGTTTTGTCAATGAAATTGCAGGTGGACCAAGGTGGTGGCTGCTAGTGTTGTTGCTTATCTTGACGTACATTGTTTCGTATTTTTTCACGAAGGCAAAGGGGATCATACCTATGAAAATCCCCCAAGTGATCCCACAGCACGATGCAGCAGAATAGCTTGTAACCAAACACATCATAAGCTCTTTTCGGTTTTGTTTTTGTTTATGTTTAGCCTTATTAGCTTTTTTGCATTTGTGTTTAAGGAATTACAAGGGATTCTTCACCTTTACCAGAAACTTGAATGCTTTCTATATCATTACATTGTAAACTAATATTTTAAGAGAGAAGCAGTAAACACTATACTATGGATCAATAAAACTCATTTATGTTCCTCATCGACCTTAATAAACATGGAGTAAAATTAAGAAACTTAAAGCATAGTTCATTAACTGTCAAACCTTCAAGAAAGACTTCATTTTTCTTCTTTGCTTTTTTTGCTTCAATAAAATAAAAATGACAGTTACATAGTTTGGAAACCCTTTTATGTTCCTGATTGACCCTAATAAACTAATATTTTTAGAGAGAAGCAGTTAGCTGCACTATACAATGGATCAATAGTTCATTACCTTCAACTTTCAAGGAAAACTTCATCTTTCTTCTTTGCTTTTTGATTTAACAATATAAAAATGATAGTTACAATGTTTGGAGACTGGGTAAGCAAAAAAAAACAAGAGTAGCCTTTGCGTGTATATACCACATGTTAGCATAAAGCCTTTTTTTTCTTCTATCTGATCAGATTCTTGGGTAAACACAAAACGAACAAGAGAAAAGATTTGAATTATTGGCGCTTCCTTTGGTAGAGAGAATAACCAACGAGCGCAGACATCAAGAATGTCCATAGTACCTGTTGTTTCCACCATATTTGTTACTTCTAATCATAATAATTAGTAAAAACTAACGAAAGACTTTTTGACACGATCATCTTGTTACCATACCGTATTGATGGTGTGCCAACGTTCGAGTCGTTTAATTCTTGATTGCATATCTTCCAAAACGTTGTCTATGGAAGAACCATCTCTTCTCGGTGATGCTTCCGACACACTGTTACTACTTCCCTTCAAAAAGGCAATGAGAGGCCAATTCAGAGACAGCGAAACTAGAACGAGAGAAGAGGATGAAGGATGCTTTTTTTATTACCTGAGATTGTATGAATTCCACAAGTTCTTGCAACCGCGCTGCTTGTTGTGTATGGATTCCACTTGAACTTCTCTGCACTGGTGGTAATCTTTCCAACACTATTTGAAGGTAACTCTTTATTCAAGAAGACAAGAGGGGAATAAGAGATAAATTAATGTATACATATAGTATGTAAATGAAGAGAAACGGGGTATCGAAAAAGGAAATGGAACCTTTGTTGTGTATGAACCATCCAGTTTGAGAGCTGAACCAGCAGCAGTCACAGCTTCTTTGTTTGCGCCTTTGATCTGTATGTACGGACTTGGCACATCTTGGAGATGATCAACCTCAATCAGAATCTTCAATAGCCAAAATCAAGAGGGGAGGCTTATTTAGGACCACATTTCACCACAAGAAACGTCCCGGAAAAATAGATTCTATGTCGGGTTTTGATCTCATGAAGCTTGTTTAGCATTTTTAAACAGGGATACACTTACCTTTCCGTCTTGGTAAATAAAGGCAGAGGCTTCGATATACGCCACTGCTTGATACCTGAAACAGGTAATAGAACATATATAGATTATCTACATAATGTGACAACGGTCTCCTATTTAAGCTGTTTGCTATTGAAAACTTAAGTTTCGGATATAGAGACAGCAGAAAGCTATTGAGGATGACTAATTGAAGTAAAACACTTATTCGCTCACCCGAGATTAAGAAGACCAGCCACAGTACTTACGCTAATGTCGAAATCTACTTTCGGCTGAATGATGAAGTTCCCTTCCCTAATTGGCTGTGACGCAGTAGAAAGATTTATGAGACGTCGTAATTGATAAAATTCACTGATTGACAAAACACTCATGAAACTAGAGAATAAAAGCATACCTCACGTATAAGCACCGCAAATCTGCCCTCACAGATTCTTACGCGTATGCAGTCACTATCTGACAACTGCCCATTGGCAGGAAGCCCAGATAGCCTGAAATATATATCAATAAAGTTCTGAACGGAGCTGCAGAATTTCGTGGAGTCGAGGATGCTGAGAATATCCTGATACGGAACCTTATCAAACGACATGAGGAGTCGTGAGTGTTTCTGTAAAGTTAAGAAAGCTAGATCTATGGAAAGCTCAGAATGCGTTATTATTTTATCCTTACCTGTTTATTGCTCTTCAAAACAAACAAAGAGCTCTCGGGAGAGAGAACTGGATCAAAATCATTTCGAATCTTGACCTGTATCATTGGGAAATGTAAGTACGAAGGCAGAGATCATACATATGCCCAAAGTCGTGTTGGTTGAGTACACTTTAATCGATTGTTTTTTTTTTCTTTCATAGGCAAATTGCAATCATTTAGAAAAAAGAGTACGAAAAGACAGTAGAGATCAATATTAGTAGGTGAAATATAGTCTTAAGTGTACTCACATGTGCATGCACTAGATGTGGCTCAATATGTTGCTGGAACATTGGAAATACGGTCATCATTATCTCATTTTGGGACATGAAGCACCCGACTCGGCTTTTATCCCTCTGGACTCTAGAAATAAGATGTGAATGAACACCTCCCACCTGTTTTATGAAACCCAAGAAAAATCAGCCTGTTCTTGATAAGAAAACAAGATATAGAAGAAAAGGAACCAATGAAGCAGAAAAATTCTCTTACAACAGCGACCCAAAGGTCCAAAGATTGTCTGATTTCTGGATGTAATGCGTATACCCCCTCGAAGATGATCTAGACAGCAATGTGATGTTAAAACTACGCTTCAAAAGATAACAAAGGCAACAACCATTTGAAAGAGAAAATATCATTGTGAAACGACTATGATCACTGACCACACCACACTCTTCAGAAACTTCAAGTTCCTTGAAGCCACATCTGGTACCAGTCTCCAGGTCAAATATAGGCAGTTTTGTTCTTCGACTGTTCGTTATGTCAGCAATATTCTGTAAATGAGATAGAGAGAGATTTTTAATTCCAATTAAACTAACCCCAAGGCTGACAGATTATCTTATCCCTTTATATTTCCAAACCAAAGCGTTACCTTTGAGAGCAAAGGCAGGTCAAGGGAACTAAAGTCATCATGCTTGAAATCTTTGACTTGTTCAGACTTGAAGTAACTTTCAAGGGAAACCACTTCACAGCCAACTATATTTGCCATTTTATGAGCCAAGCTAGTCTTACCAGATCCACTAGGACCACCTTCAGTAAAATCATTTTGACAGTATAAAGTATAAGAAATACTTTTAGGTTCAGTCTCAAAAGCAAAACAATATAAACAACAAACAAGCAGTATTACCTATTCCCACAATAACAGGTGGTCCTTTATTTTCCAACAACGCCTGAAACAATAATCACAAGCACAAGAACCCTTACTAGAAAGAGAAAAGTCTTTGAAGAGGTAATAATTTGAGAAAGACGAAACAGCTATTCTACTTAACAGAAGGACTTTCTCCTATCTACTTACCTGTATTGCTTGAACGGAAAGAAGTAACCCTCTGTCCAAGTCGTATGAATCAGGCATAGGAACAAGTCGTAAATTATCCCTGAAAGAGGAATCTGTGGCTGCTTGATGAGAAAGCCTAAGCATAAATGCAACGGTAATACCACCGAAATGCATTTGATAGACATAACACTAAGGGAGGGCCGAGGGGAAAAACATCAATCTTAAGGAAAGACGGACATACCTACAACAGAGCTTACTGAAGGAGGTGCATCAAAAGAGGTGAAATGCCAAGTTGCAACCATCGGTTCCATTTGAGATTTGGTAGGAGATCGTGTCCAAGGCTGCGATAAATCCTCCAGTCGTGTAACAATGTTTGGGGTAGTTCGGATTGGTTTTGGTGCAACAATTTGCTTCTCCTGGTTAGTGATTACAGGAGACTGTTGCAAAAGTGGAGGTGTATTCAAGCGTGGCACACCTGCAGCATGGGTTAGCTTGGAGCAGTCAAGATTCTGTTGCACTGGAAAGTATAAGAAAGGAAACATAGTGGAAACAGACATGCTATATCCAAATTCACTGACCTTTACTTTCAAGGATTAGTTCCAGGTATGATTTGGTGATCCAGGGCCCACTTATACCCATTCTCAGAGCTTCAGCTCCCACACTCTATATGGAAAAAGAATAAATTAAACACGTATAGCAAAATGGAGACTGATGAAAAAGCTAGATTCAATTTGCTACTGACAGAGAAGAACATCAGTAAAAAAACGTTTTGTAGGGACTTTTTTGCACTGAAGATTGATGTGCTTGTTTTAAGAGAGAATTGTGGGTTATTACCTTCCTATCTGTCCCTCTCAGTACCAGGAAAGTCTCTCCAAGAGTATCAATCGTTTCACGTGACAGGGATAAATTACCATAACTCACAGCAGTTGAAGCTCGCTTATAACTTACAACAACATTGTAACCTAAAGCTAGCAACCCTCCAAGTGTCATCCGTCCAACCTGCTAGACAATAGCAATCAAGTCACATAGAGAAGAGCTGTGAGGAGTATCTTTGAAAATAACAGATGCCATTAGGACCAGATTCCTTAAATATAGCAAAAATCAAGGAAAATACTGGACCAGGAAACATAAACGTGTAATTCTACATCACCCAATTCCTACTATTATCCTTTCCACCAAGAATAAAGAGATAAACATAACCCAAATTTCATGAAGACTTAAAAAAAATAGACAGAAGGAAGCACCAAATGATTATTGAAACATCAGTAGTTGCATGAATCAACTCACCTCAAACTCAGCTTTCGGCCGGATAATGAAATGCTTGTCGACAATTCTTTGGTCTCCAAGCGACAGATAGTACCTTATACCAGCTTGACGAACTTTGATCCAGTCATTTATACGTGCCTCTTCATTTGCAGAAGGTGGTCTGAGGTACATCTCAATAAAACTGAATGTAGCACCAGGGAAACAATGTCAGCATGCATGTTAAGACCCAGTAAAAAAAAGCTTAAACCATTCCCACATGCTAGAAGAATCCTACTTACTTATCCTTCTGGACTTCCCTTTCTTGAGCAAAAGAAGTTACCATCTGTTATATGAATTTTAGTCAAACGTTAGACATATCATAGAAATCAAGGTCACAGCTGGAAAAAATTAGCAATTGAAAGAAAACTACAGACCTCACTTTTGCATTTCAATTTGTAAATGGCTTCCCGAAATGATGAAACGAAACTGTTGTTGATTCTGATCTGCACACTCCCAACAAACGGATAAGTCAAACTTCTGAAAACTTAAAAGG